AACGTCTGTTGGCATGACAAATAAAGGGATAACAGAGGATTAAGGTATCATTGGCTTCCACTGGCCTCCATGTTTATCCCTGTAATCCTCTGTTATTCCTTTATTTGTTATCTTCACATTGTTATTCCGCCTTGCCTTGTTAATTAGTCTTCTTGTATATATATCACCTTCTCTCCCTGTACCATTCACACTTGAAAACGACACAAGAACCTGTATCGAAACGTCGTGCTCTAGAATTAAAGAAGTTATCCATATATACTTGTTCTATCTGACTTCCAACTTCTAAAATGACACTCAATGACACGGTGTCGTTGACCTTGGACACATTGAACAGGGTTGATCGTCATAAATTTGGATTTGGTGCTACCGTTTCCACAGAGTTCCATATTAAACGGACCGCCTCCGTGGTGTAGTGGTTAGAGCGTCCACCCGAAGAGCGGAAGGTCGTGGGTTCGATCCCCGACCGCGTCATACAAAAAGACGTTAAAATATAGTACTTGTTGGTCCCTGCCTGGCGCTCAGCATTAATGGGTACAACAAGGACTGGTCGGCTCGGAGTCAGTATAATGTGTCCGATTTGGGTATTCATGTTTCACTGCGGCATGGTATCTCAGTGGGCTAGCACTATAAAACCAGCTTAAGTCTGGGCTAGTACAAGCTGCCGCACATACACATACACACGCATGCACGTCGTCATATGAGCGAAATATTCTCAAGCACGACGTTAAAACCAATTTCACCTCACCTCACCATATTAAACATATTGGCCACTGCACGCTGTATCCTGCTCGTTTCCGACAAAACGAGTCGGTCAGTGTTTGCCCTTAACCCTGAAAAAGCTGAAGGCCTTAAGGACCCAGAGCCATAACAAGTTGTGGGTCCTGATCAGAATGTGTAGGTTCTCTGTTGTAACTATAATATAAGTAATTCCTATCAAACAACAAAAATTTGACAACTAACAAACCGAGTTTAATTTATAAAATTTACCAGAAAATTTCTTTAAATTATACTCTTAGTTATCAGGGATGAAACATCTTTCGGCATAAGGACGCAGAACCTTCTCGGCATAAGGACCCGCAGAAAACAAAAGCTGTGGGTCCGAGTGGTTTTTCAGTCTCCGGGCCTAAAGGACCGACGTTAATTTCGAACGCTGGAGCCAGTTGGGAGCGCTTTGCAGACGCAGCATTACAGCGGAATAAGGGTTGTCCATCTGATAAAGCACACTTTCAAACACAAACTATATATACATCTGTGCATAAAATAAGCACCACCCTGTATTTTTACCAATTAATTTTGTCTGAAATGAAATTCTAAACTCTTTCCAAAAATAACCTTTATAATTTGATAGGGCAAGCACTTAACATTTCAAAAACGAAAACATAATTGAAATTACCATGCATTTTAATTAGGATAATTGCTTATATTTAAAACAGGTGATTTTCAGTCCTAAAACAAGTAACCTTATTTTGAAAAGTGAAAGCAATAATTGATTGTTGTGTGACCTATAAATTCGTTATTTATTGTGAATGCATGAAAATTTGTAAACTAAGATTTAAGAAAGGTTACAGTCAAACTGAAAAAAAAGAAAATTTTAAAATGCAGTAAAAGTTACTTTACAAACAAAACAAACAGATTTTAGCTGTTATTCTCAGTATCCGACAAGGAGAAGTGTTTACTCATTACAATAAACTCAAAATCATAAAGGATTTTTTCCAAAATCTTATTAATGTGGCATTTTTAAGTTTTTTTGTCAATGAGCAATCTGACTTGTTGTAAAAAGGTCTGAATCTTTGACATTCGGGTTCTTCCTGATTATGCATAATTAAAGCTTACTTGATGTGTAAATGTCATCTTGGTTATAACAGAATTGTTATTTTTAGTCAAAACTTAATTTAATTGTGAAGTTTGAGCAGGAGAGGAATGGTTATTTTGGGGTAAACATTCAGTCCCATCACATTTTCATCAACATATTCTTTCATAAAGGGGGCGGTGGGGTAGCCTAGTGGTTAAAGCGTCCGCTCGTCACGCCGAAGAACCGGGTTCGAATCCCCACATGGGCATAATGTGTGAAGCCCATTTCTGGTGTCCCCCGCCGTGATATTGCTGGACTATTGCTAAAAGCGGCGTAAAACCATACCCACTCCCTCACTCTTTCATAAAGAATAGAAAAGGTTATGGTATTTGTAAAACAGTCAGTGGATAACGCTTCAGGTTGATTAAATTGATGGCTATACCCTAACTTTTCTGTAGCATCACATCTTATTTTCAAAATAGGGTGGTGCTTATTTAAAGCACGGGTGATATATGAATGACAGGAATGCATCACATGTGTATGACAATCAAAATCAATATGATTACCAGATACCACGTTCCACAGATATTAATCGACCTTTCCTGAAAGTGTCAAAACTTGACGCCCTACGCACGTGTATTTCTACTTCGTGCGGCACGTTCAAACTATCGGTTGTGTTTTGGTGTTTAACAGAGATATACGTTTTTGAACAGGGTGCTTCTCGTCAACATTTGTCTTCGTTCTAATGTTTATATTTTCGTATTCATATTTATATTCATGATCACCTACCTTTTTCAGAGTATATAATTATTATAAAACAAATTATCCCGAGGTATCTCCTGGTTTGAATAGTTGCAATAATAAAGTAGACTTACTTGATAGTCTTCGATTAGTTTTGCGTGAGGTTAATATGAGAGATTATGAAATATGTGCTGAATTCGGTGGTAACAGACAAAAGGAAGATGGACGATTAGACGGCGAACGGAAAGCGTAATTAACGCTAAAAGAGACCGTATTGATTGCTTGTTCTAGCATATCCAAGCCTTCTTATATTACAGCTTTCGGAACAATGATCCCTTCCTCGGAATTTGTATAAGTAATTTGATTTTATAATGAATCTTAGTCACAAGAACCATTAACATTTAAGACAGGCTCCCATCACACGAAGTACGTATATATATAATAGTAAATTTTATTACAGTTTATCGTGAATTTCCCAAATTTGTTTCAGTCTGTTTATATCAGATCGCGGACTCAATTATTATTTAGTTACACAAAGCAGTGATTAAATAAATAAATAAAGAGTTAAGCTTGAAAGTGTACACGGTTTGACCACAGGCATTTGTGTCGTTGCTTGAATGTTTCCAAACAGATTAATCTCACGAATGTCAGATATAGAAATTCACTGTTCTTTATATCTTTACATCTTTAGGCTATACATGATTAGGATAGTGTAGTCTGACATTCGTGATATCAACCGATCTGGAATATCTAAGCAACGACAGAATTGCATGTTCACTTGTAGTCCAAGAGATGAGGCCTGATTTATTTACCTCAGACTGACTGACTGAGTTTGGTTTTACGCCGCTTTTAGCAATATTCCAGCAACATCACGGCGGGGGAGACCAGAAATGGGCTTCACACATTGTACCCATGTGGGGATTCGAACCCGGGTCTTCGGCGTGACGAGCCAACGCTTTAACCATTAGGCTACCCCACCGCCCCATTTGCCTCAGAGGTCCAAAAGGTTTGAACATTGGTTCCTATGGAAAAGTGTCTGAATTTTCAGAATATGTACGTCTTACGAGTCAAAACGTGACCAATTTTTCGCTAGAGGGCGCTGAAGTCATGACTCAGCATTTTTATCACCAACTACCCCACTACTGGAAATGTTGATTTTTTTGTGTATTGCTTTTTATTGTCACCGACGAACGTGTCTAAAGCCAGAGGTTTTGAAGGCAAAGTGGACATATTTTATGACTGCTTCAGATGGGGAAACTGCATTCAGTTAAACCGTTATAGCGTAATTAACTCTCCGTAAGTGCCGGAAGAAACATTTATGTTCGATCGCAATTTACATCTCAAACAGGAAAACACAAATCATCTTTGTTTAATTGTCTTTTGATATTATTATCAGCATATTGAAATTCATGAACTGTCCTTGATCATGTGAACATTAGGTGTTTTTATCAAAAATGCATTAATTAATTACTAATTGAACGCTTAATGTCAGACATTACACATGTCTGAGAGTAATACAGAGCTCCATTTACATTGAAATGTAGCCTAATGTACATTGTGATGTAACACAAATTCCTGAATAGGCATTAAAGTATTATTCTATTCTATTCTATTCTATTCTATTCTATTCTATTCTATTCTTCTAAGTGAGATGGGAGATTCAGAACCTGAACCTGGGGATATCTAGACTTGCTTCAGTTAGAGCTTTTGCACTTCAATCAGAGCTGGGTCAAAGAGAAAATAACATGGTTCAAAGACTGTGAATCTGAACGTAATTTCAGAAAGATCTTAATAAAATTTCATTTAATCGAATCATTTCAATATGTGTGGAAGCAAGCTTCATACTTGTACACGATTCCGTTATGCTACATTCCACACTGATATTTTGATTCTGAGATTCCAGGTTTAGAATTTGAATGTCCGAATAAAACAACAACTTTAAAGATGCTGAGTAGACAAAAAACAGAGAGTATTCCCAATTCACAGGGTCTAGGTCCAGTCTAGGCGTGGCAAACAGCGTCTTGTCACCGGGAATAAGATGCACAATGAAACATATGTTTGTAGACACAATAGACACAGGAGATAGTGTGCTTACATATTTAGACTCTAATCATCGCGACGGAATAAGGATTGTCCATCTGATTGAGCACACTATATCTATAACAGGAGGTTTAAGTTTCGTTGAATTGGTAGCCCCAGTTAGTTTAGTCAGGACACTCAAAACATGTTTCCCTGCAGCAAGTCCACAGCAAAGATTTAGTCCAGATACCATTATTTTTATAAAGGTTTTTACGTACAAGTAGATCTTAAAGGCGAATAGACTTAGATCGGAAATTATCTTCGACCGTGGAGCACAGCGCCCTTTGTTACTGTCTAAAATGCAAAACAAAACCCGTAAGAATGATATTTTATGTGCGCTTCGGATAGAGTTATCCTGCTTCAACAGCCCGACGATAGGTGGCACAAAACGTCCTTGACACACCTCCGCGCAGCAGTCAACATGGCTCTGAACCGGCTCTCTCGCTTCGGCATTATCTCTGTTCGAACATCAAAATGCACATCGTTTGTCCGCTTGTTTTCAGGTATTTTGGATAGTTTCTAACATTATAACCTATTTCAAATATTCATGCAGCGTGACATCGTATATTTCATTGGCATACCTGTCGTATCCCGTGAAGCGTAACGGTGAATATTCGTGAGCATGTCGACACAGCCACCGAATAGAATCTAGATCTATAGCCTTCTATGGAATTCAAATGGCACTCAACGACGAGAAACTATTACAGTCCTGGCTTTACACATGGTTCTCATTTAACATGCTTTTAAGCACCAAGACTTGGGTACCCAGAACATTCTACTCCAGTATCAACAATGAGACAACATGTTCAACCAGCATTGCAGCAAGAACTGGTCGATCCGTCTCCGCGAAACGTTTTGCTTCTTTTTTTAAAAAACAAATCCGAAAAATCAGGCTGGTAAAGTGCATTACACTCAAGATAATAATTAACGAAAACCTGCAGCACAAATATTGAAATTTGAACCAAGAAGTGGACTTGCTTTATGACATTAGATGCAGTCAACACCGTTTTATGTCTTATTTTGGTATAAAATGTATTTTGAAGTAAGGTGACAAGAATCGCCCCCCTTGATCTGCATTTGCGATAGACAGGAGTTATTCCCCCTTCCTGGCACCGGCACCAGCAGGTGGCGTTGTAGTTGGCAGCCGTCGTTCACCGGCATGGCAGAGTAGCACTTTTGAATTGCTCAATTTAGTGGTTTTATCATGACAGAAAGTGTCCCTGATGTACGTCTGAAGGGGTGCCAGTCAAATCGCCCCAGCTACAAAACGCCCCAGCCAATTTGGCCAAAATGCCCCAGATTTTTGGTCAAATCGCCCCAGGTTTGGTCAAATTGCCCCAGGGGGGTAGTCAAAATGCCCCAGTGTATTTAAAATAATTAAATATATGCCCTAAATGCATAGTTTTTGTTAACTTCCATATTATATACTTCGTATAATAATATATAGTAATATTTCTGATAGATTTTCTATTAGTAAACTGATAAGAGCAAAAGTAATATTCATGTATAAACAACACTATCATACCAATTATTTGCATGTTATTAATGCTTTTGTAAAGAATTACAAGAATAAAATGAAATGTTTGTATAAAATGTTTATTGGCCATAAATGCATAGGTTTTTCAACAAGTATGATAATGCTAATCAAAACAATCTAGAGCTTTTGTTAATTAATCTTGTCAAACAGTGTGGATTAAAACAGGCTATTAAAACATGTTCACTAATTGACATTCAATGCTGTGTTTAGTTAAAGGAAATGTTGAGGCTCGAATGTATGAGCATTTCAGGCTATAAAAACATATTCACTAATTGACCATCACCTATCGAGATTCAAAAATGTAATTTTGAACGATTTTAATATCTACAGTCATTTTGACTTAAATTTCGGTAGCAGATTTTGTCTAATCATACATTCTCGTCTCCCACTTGAATGTAGTGACCTTAATGCGAAGACAAATATGAAAGATTTATATCTCCGACATCATCTTGCTCTTGTAGCCATAACTATGAAGACTCTGATCACTATTTCTTTTCATGTACTCTTTACAACGATATACGTCAAATTATGTTTTTTTATACTAAAGGATTTGACCTAAAATCAATTTTGTTTGGAAACCAACGCTGTTCCTCAATAGTAAACAAAGAACTTTTAATTTCAGTGCACTCTTTTATAAATTTAACAGGCAGATTTGATCCAAAATATTTTGTTTATATGACATATACCGCTTAACAATGATTGGCGCTATTTCTCGCTTTTGCAGCATTTATATATCATTCACATTGTACATTCATCATGACGAAGTTTATTCTTCCTTCCATTGTATCCCAGAGCGTATTCATATAAGCTTATGCTTGTTTACCAATCCGGTTCCTTTCTTTGGAAATAAATATGTTTAAATAATAAATATTATACCATACTAGTTATGATTACATAATGCCATTGGTTGACCAAAAACTATTTACAGCCAATAAACATATTATACAAACCTTTCATTTTACTCTTGTAATTCTTTACCAAATAATTAGTATTACAGTGTTGTCTATACATGAATATTACTTTTGGTCTTATGAGTTTACTAATCGAAAATTTATCAGAAATATCACTATATAATATTATATCTATAGAATATAACATGGAAGTTGACAAAAACTATGCATTTGTGGCATACATTTAACCAATTTAAATACATTGGGGCATTTTGACTACCCCCCTGGGGCAATTTGACCAAACCTGGGGCGATTTGACCAAAAATCTGGGGCATTTTGACCAAATTGGCTGGGGCGTTTTGTAGCTGGGGCGATTTGACTGGCACCCGTCTGAAGAGGAAGAGGACTTGCTTTATGACATTAGATGCAGTCAAGACCGTCTACCGGGGACTGTTAATGACAAATAGACTGTAATATGTTCAAGACTTCTGAACAAGACTCGCCTCTAGAGCAGTTGATCAGTATAGGTTTGTGCCCTTCTCACAACATTAAACTCAGGAGGCATCAATGTCAGTCGGAGTTACCACGAACCAACTTACACCACTGATACAAGATACAATATTTGTGACAACATGTCTTGCTCCCCTATTGTCAGAATTTGATCAAATCATTCAAACTTGGCTCATGCATTCTTGTTACAAGGAATGACGGTTTGCCAAAACACACCCTAATGTAAGCTCAGATATCAGTCGGTGTGTGCTGAGTAGACTGGGAAATAGTACTGTATAGATCTTCAAACTAACATTTTCTTATGTGGATCAAGAGGTGCATATTGAATTATTTATACACGAAACCTTATAGGGAAGAGGGTATACAAAATTTATATTGATTAAGTATTGACTGTGTTGTACAACACCCTTACTAACTTGCTTGGTGCAGTTTACAACAAAAATAGCATGGCTACAAAAATGATGAAAATACAAACATCACCTCAGATTATTCTTGCAATTTTTTATTCTGTTTTCGTGAGCTGAGGGACCTTGTTGATTGATTGTCATCATACCATAACAGCATGGATTCCTGCTCTCACTATCACTGGATTGTCTGGACAAGAGTGCGGCGTTTAACAACAATCAATCAATCTCAATATCAGTCAGAGAATTGTCTGGTCTGTAATCTGTTATTTAGGGGCTGCTGTGATAGAGCCTGAATATTTCTGTATGTGGTCTCTATCAGTAAACCACCATGAATGTTCCTTCATTACAGGCAGTGCACCTCTCAGCAGCCAGCAGCCGGTTGGGTTTGTTGGTTTGGGACTGATGGGCAACCACATGGCACGTAACCTCATCAAGAAAGGCTACCCTCTCATAGTGTATGATGTCTCCAAAGATGCTGTAGAAGGACTACGAAAGGATGGTGAGTCATGCCAGTAACCATGGCAACACTTATTACATCTCCGATCAAACTGGATTGAAATTCATACAGATAAACGTATCCCTTGCCTGTATATATATATAATTATTCAAGATGCCATTTTCTCCACTGTAAAACACACCATGAAACTGTCCTTGGAAACACTGCTGTAGATAATTTATGAGTTTGGCATTAACAATACTGTGCCAAACCCATGTTGTGCCTGATCGATTTTCGATAAATATTGGAGAAGTAACTTGAAGCAGAAATGCAAAATCATGTTAGAATGAAATGAATACATTTCACACCACTGGTGAGCAGCGACATGTTTATGCATGGGCTGCTAACAAATCAGTGTCCTGAATATAATTTAGAAGCAGCCCATGAGTAAAATCCTAACTTTGTGTCTTGTTTGAGGAAATTAAAAATGTATTCCATCGCAAAAGTTTATGTACAATATTATTCATGACACTATTTACATATCTGTAATCTTGAAGGATTTTTCCTATGGACAGTATTTCCTATGGTTCTTTTTAGCCAGCCCTAGCTGTCACAGTGGTACTGGACCCTTACTTGGACAGCTGGGCAGTGGGATAGCTTAGGGGTTAAAGCGTTCGCTCGTCACGCCGAAGACCCGGGTTAAATTCCCTACTTGGTACAATGTGTGAAGCCCATTTCGGGTCTCCTCCGCTGTGATATTACTGGAATATTGATAAACTTACTCACTCACTATATTGGACAGCAATGATGGGTTTAACATGTAATTGGTACTTCAGGTTTGCGATGACCCATCCCAAACACAAGTATCCCATCATCTAATGGAGGATTCTCTTTTATGTCACGCAAACCATTCTCCAGTGCAATATGACACCACAACATTATTTCATATGATTTACCATCTTCAGGTGCAACAGTGGCAGCATCCCCAGCAGACGTAGCTGCTGCCACCAACAACATTGTCAGCATGTTGCCGGAGAGTGTCCATGTCGAGACTGTCTATGCCGGAGACAATGGCATCTTCAGGTCAGTTCACACTTCACATTTATCATGCATATGTAATAAGGTGTCACTCTCTCATCACCTGATCTGCACATCACACTTTGCCTCTTGTTGCTTTGCAGAACTGTCTACAGATGTTCACAGTGACAATTTTTTGCATGGCAATTGGAAGCATTTGACCAGTTTCCTATTATATTCCATGATTTTTTAAAGATTTCTTTCAAATTTTCCCAAATTTCTTTCTTCTATTAACTGTTACTTTTTGTGGTTTCTTTCTATGTTCCTTTTAAAGAGCCTGCAGGCCACCCTAATTTATGAGCCATTTGCTTCTAACAGATTTGTATATTGTATGAATTTAGTGACAAGCACTTGGCAGCATTTCCCATTTGATTATGATGGTGCCAACTTTAAAGAAACCTGATTTTCTCTCTGGAAGAGGGAAGTGAATATTTCAAATATTCAAACACACAGATATGTCTGTATCACTCCATCACTTCAGCCAGTCAAGTAAACATCCCTCAGGTCTAGCCAGATCAACTCTGTCTGGTAACACTAAAATGAAGTATTGACAGTAAGATAGTCCTAAGTTAATGTTAATGTATGGCACTTACGACTATCTTAGTGCTGAGAGAGCTTCGAAAATCTAGGCCCTGCTTACCAAAAGAAATCATGTACCTTGTGTGTAGCAGCCATGCTGCCTCACAGTCACTGTAAGCCCTGTCTTCAGCAGTTCATCCAGCCTTCGTACTCACACAAAAAGTTCACCGAACATTCATATAGGTTCTTTGAGTGGCATTTTAGAAGTTGGGAAGTGCAATATAGAACAAACTTTATGGATAACAACTTCTTTTTATTCGTGAGTGCGACGTTTCGATACAGATTCTTGTACCGTTGTCAAGCACAATATAGAACAAACTTTATGGATAACAACTTCTTTTTATTCGTGAGTGCGACGTTTCGATACAGATTCTTGTACCGTTGTCGTGTCCTCGTGCTTTAACTATAATAGTTCAGGGCAAAAGTATGTTTTATTACACTATACATGGTGGTAGAGCGGAGTGTATTTCTTAATTCATTGACACACAAAAAACAAAATTGATGTTGCCTGTAGCGATGGGCGATAATACCGGTTAACTGGTTTATTGCAATTCAAACTTCACAATACGATATATTGCATTACACTTTTTATGAACCAGTTCACCCGATACGATCGGCATTTTCCGTGACCATGATCAGTAATTTTCGTGATGTAGTCAAAAATACCATTAACATTTGTATATATTTTATATTATTATACATTAATAATTTTGAGAATAGTTTATTGGTCATATAACTGCATTTGCATGACTTTTAAACCATATAGATAAAAAAAAATAGATTGGTACCGGCACTCGTTGTTGGGATAAACAATTTGGAAACATTTTCATTTGATCTCTTGTACAATCACATCCTGACAGTGGCCAGTGACATTGTTTCAAAAAGAAAGAAACAGTAATTTCATTACCTTAACCCATGCAATACGCCAACACATATCACGATATGTCACAATACGAAAATTTTGGCAATACCCAACCCTAGTTGCCTGTTTATGTTTGAATAGACTTTCCAAATGAGAACAGAATTTATTCTACACCAGTCAAGTGTTTCTGGATATTGTGAAGTTGATCTGTTATTAGGATTCGTGACAAGGTACAGATTTATTACACCATAAGTGTTTCAGAATCAGTTCAGATTGATACAAAATAGCAGTACAGATGAAATACAATCCATCCGCACATATATATCTGATCTGTTTGTAAAATTGGTTTTAGTCAGATTATTTGCTGATACGTATTGTTTCAAATTTTTAGCCCTTCAGGCTGGGGATATCTGTCTTATATTTCCAAAGCAGAATTCCAAAACCAGGCAGTTTTTCGTGTTGAAACTTGCTGTGCAAATCAGTGTAGTGGCATACTGGTGTCCTTTGATGATTTGGGAATTTTTTTTAGTTTTTTTATTAAGTGGAATACAAGCCATTCTCCTTTTCCAGCTTGTGCCAGATCAAGGGGGAAGATGCATCATCACCATATGACTCTTTTTTACTACATATAGTTCCATCAGTATTGAAAGTGGTATGTTATATATTTGCAAATTTCTGTACTTTGAATACCCGGGAAGGTCCGGGTTAGAATGAACCTTCAGTAACCCATGCTTATCGTAAGAGGCAACTAACGGGATCGGGTGGTCAGGCTCACTGGCTTGGTTTATACATGTCATTGGTTCCCAATTGCGCAGGTCGATGCTCATGCTGTTGATCACTGGATTGTCTGGTCCAGACTCGATTATTTACAGACCGCCGCCATATGGCTGGAATTTTGCTGAGTGCGGCGTAAAACTAAACTCACTCACTCACTCTGTTCTTTGAAGCCTGATCTGGAAGTACATTGTACTGAGCCACAAGTGTTTTAGTTTGTTTTGGGTTTGTTTGGGTTTTTTTCTAAGGTGGGGTTGTGGTGGGGGGTTGTTAAAATCTGTCTTCTTAAGAATGCCTGCTGAATCAGCAATTTACCTGCATGAGGATACAAGACTAGCAGTAAACCACTGTGAGGAAGCCTTGGTTCATAAACCTTGTATAGAGTATTTGGTACACAGAGAACCTCACCCTAGTCTTTTTTGACATCAAGCATATCAACACAAGTTGATAAAGGTATAAGACTCTTCGGCACACCAGCGTGAGATGCTATTTATCATCCATCATTAACCCTCGACCTTTTGCAGTTTGTAAACAGTATAAGCAGTGTCTTAAGTCTATTACTGATGTCAATTGATTGTGACATCATGGAAACCGATGACATCACAATGATCTGCAAAGTATTATGAATCGTGTTCATGTAAATCTATTTAACTTCCTCACTGGCCAAATGATTGACTGCTTAGATACCTGAAAGTCAGTGGTTCAATAACCATACTTTCAGTTCATTTTGGGGGCCAAGTATTTGTATCAAAAGCCAGCTTGTGTAACATATAGATACTTCACTGAAGCACCTCGTACAGTGGTTAAAAATTCTCAGCTTTGAGAGCTACGTGTGACATTTATGAGCTGTGAATGAAGATTTGGATCATGTATGGGGTTTGTCCTCTAAATGTCCTTAAATCAACCATTTGAATATAGAGACTCTATTGTAATTGTGATGCACAAAGAGGCATGAAAGTCTTGAACCATTTGTTAAAAACCTAATAATTCTGAACATTTGTCTAGTTTCACGAGTTTGGAAATCAGTCATAAAGTTTGATACGATGAAAACCCTGAAGGTAACTTCCTTTGACATTTCATTAGAACATTCGCAGTCATTCCTCCAGCTGTAAAATGAAATATATCGCTTACCTTTTGTCAGGAGTATAGGAGATGCTGTATTGGAGTTCTTCACATGAAAGGAGAATGTTGCAAGCAATTAGTCTTTATATATGCACCTTACTCCACCTTTGCTACTGAGTGTGACGCGATCCACCAAAGGTTGATTATCACCTGGAGGCACATTGAACAAGGACGGCAGCTAGGAATAGCATCAATCACTGTATGTAAGTCAAGTGATAACTAATACCTCCACAGTGCTCAAAAGATTACTGTGTCCTGGACATTTTATAGCAGACGTGTGGCAATAGGATTGGTGATGAGTTTTGAAAGTTTAAATTAGTCGCTGATATGGTGATGAGTTGGTTAGGGCTTTTTTGGTCCACAAAACATGTATTATGTTGTAACATACATGATAATAATCAGACGTGATCAAATGATTGACGGCAATGATAACCCTTTTCGGCTTGCCTGATGAAAGTCAAATGTGCTTATGTGGTGTCCTGTTTGTAATCACCTGTGAAGATCAGGGTTAGGATTGGTCTCCAGCAACCACTGTCGTAAGAGGCAACTAACATGATCGGGTGGTCAGGCTCACTGACTTGGTTGACACATATTGTATCCCAATTGCGTAGATCGATGATCATTGTGTTGATCACAGGATTGTTTGGTCCAGACTCGAGTATTTACAGACCGCCACCAAATACATGTAGCTGGAATATTGCTGAGTGCATCAATTAACAACCAACCAACCTGTTTGTAAGCATCTGTCATAATACACATCATTTCAGAAACTGCTCGACCAATGTCGCTGAAACTGTACATAGTGGTACTTCACCTCGCCAGTGATCACACGCAAATGTGCTGATGAGGTTTTAATTTCATTCTCATTGGCTGCAATGTCAGCCATTTTGACATATTTTCACGATTACTTAAGCACTAATGTAGTAATGAAACTTGGTACATGTCTTGTAAGGTGTAGGGCAGTAACTTCTGCTCTTGGTGATATGTAATTTTTTAATTTTAGATAGCTACTCCACTTCCTTTTGTCTTATGTAAATTCTCTCAAAATGCAAGTGAACATTCTCTAGTATGTTTCGCAATAGTACTGATTTTCGAAAATCTAAATTTCATTTATGATTTCATAATAAACAGTCTGAAATCCTACTCTAGGTAATGGTGGAGCTGTGAATGCTAATCAAAAGAAGTGAAGGATATTTTCATACGTCACGATGGGGCATAAAACAGCAGTACTGAAAAACTGGTTGTTGATTTTATGTTAACTTCATTTAAGTGGATATGATGATGTACAGTGGCAAAATACATATTGCTTCTTTGACACACTTTTTCGTCCATTCTTTCAGGGCAGTTTTTATGACAGTCCGTCAAAATACAAAAACGAACCAATCTGTATAGCTGTAATGTAGGTTATGATGTATATATAATCATGACGCACAACAAGATATGTGGGCCAGTAGCACAGATAACTATAGCTTTGTTTGACGCTCTCAGTCCGTCCATCCCAGGTCCCTCCTGTAAGGGGGTGTAGCTGGATGAATTTTGGGCATGTACGTGTGACGTCAATACAATATTTATGTCCTTGTGGGGGAGGAAGGACAGTACGTTTAGAGGTTGGAGAAAATAATGAGTTGCTGACGGCTCTTTGGAGTAACCTTGAGATATTCTTGTCAGACGGCACCTAAAGGGCAACCCCTGGAGGTTAGTTTGTCTGGTTGTGGCTGATATCATGCTATTTTCGGTACAGCAGAGGCAGCTTGAAGTAAAGGTTTTATTCTGATTGCAACTTTTGATGACGTTATTAGAATTATTAAACATGAAACATCTTGAATGTTTCATCTATAAGCATGTTGCTGACTCTCAATAAGCTTTGAATCATATCACCTCTTATATTTAAATTACATTTGATCTTGTTCATTACTATTGTATGAATTTTCCAAATTTGGTCCAAAATTTTATTTTAACTTTATTCTACATAATGATCTAAACTCAGCTGACAGCATAATAAATTCATTTTTGAAACTGTACATAGATATAATCTGTCAGCTGAAAGGTTAATTTATGCTTTTGTGTCCAACTGTTTAATGTAGATAGTTTATTGCATGTATTGATCTACTGAATACTCTGATTGTCATTAAAATATGTTTGAATAGAAATTTTAGAATGCTGCATTTGCAAATTGTGGGTAACCAGTATTTGTGGAGAGGGCAAAAATGTTACGGGGCAAAAAAATTATTTTGAAAAGTAGAAACTATGTGTATCATGTGTACGTAATTTGCCCTAAGAGTGTTGATGTCCAAGCCTTATGTTGTATATTTTTTCCTGAAAAATTGAGGAATATGATGAACACTTTTATAATCAACTGACCAGAGTCACCTTTCAGTACAGTGTGACCACTTTTTATGTTATGAACTGTTGGGGGCGGTGGGTAGCCTACTGGTTAAAGCATGCGATCGTCACGCCGAAGACCCAGGTTCGATTCCCCACATGGGTACAGTGTGTGAAGCCCATTTCTGGTGTGCCCCCGCCATGATATTGCAGGAATATTGCTAAAAGCGGCCTAAAACCATACTCACTCACGAACCTGGGCCTTCGGCATGATAAGCAAACACTTTTACCCCCGGGCTACACTTGATCCGTGATGTCTGTCAGATTAAATGCCTATGACAAACTACGGGGTATGATCATGATGAAATACGGGTATGGTGAATTACGGGTATGATGAACTATGGATATGACAATCTAAAATTAGTAGTCCCTTTCAGTTCATTTAAATGTAGTTTAGTGAATGTTCCATTAGTGTGTGCAAGTAAAGTTTTATGTCGCTTTTAGCAATATTCACGCAGTATCACAGCAAGGGACATGCACAATTGGCTTCGCACATTGTACCCATGTGGGGAATCAAACGCAGGTTTTCAAAGGCTTTAACGCCTTGGCTACCCCCACTCTCCGTCATTAGTATGAGGGGCGGTGGGGTAGCCTAATGCTTCAAGCTTCAGCACGTCAAGCTGAAGACCCGGGTTCGAATCCCCACATGGGTACAATGTGTGAAGCCACTTTATGGTGTCCCCCGCCATGATATTGCTGGAATATTGCTAAAAGCGGCGTTAAAATCCAACTCACTCGCTCACTCATTGATATGAATAAGCAAAGCTGAACTTTCGCTATCAACACAAGAAGACACTGGTTATTCTTGCAATCGACAACAGTATTTTGTTTCACAGACTTGGTGATTCCACTTGGCAACAGGATATCAGATATGACGAAATCTGTTTCACAAATTATGAAATTAAGTTAAATATACACCACTGAGTTTAAAAAAATGCTGACAGTTAATTTCATGCACTCGCAAAGATAATATAGTATTTTTGATACATTAAGTTTGCATATCCACAAATAATAGCAGTCAATGATAGCCTGGAGAGATAACTGTTGCAAGAAGAAATATTCAAAAGCTTTGGTTGGGGAGACATAATGTCAGTCCCTTGAAAGCCTACAATTGTCCCGACAGCCTCCGTGGTGTAGTGGTTAGAGCTTCCGCCTGGAGAGCGGAAGGTCGCAGGTCGATCCCCGACCGCGTCATACCAAAAGACGTTAAAATATGGTACTTGTTGGTCCCTGCCTGGCGCTCAGCATTACTGGGTACAACAAGGTCTGGTCGGCTCGGAGTCAGTATAATGTGTCTGAGTGGGATATTCATGCTTCACTGCGGCATGGTATCTCAGTGGGCTAGCACTATAAAACCAGCTTAAGTCTGGGCTAGTACAAGCAGCCGCATGTACACATACACACTCATGCACGTTGTCATATGAGCGAAATATTCTCAAGCATGACGTTAAAACCAATTTCACCCCACCTCACCTACAATTGTCCCAGCCAAGCAGGCTTGTGACAAGTTAACAGTTCAGTACCAGTTTGTCTGTTTGAAAAAATCAAATGCTATGCAAACATCAAATTTGACCAAACACATTAAAAAGCCCCATATGCTGGAGGCAGCTTCATGAATTGAAGATTTTGTTAAAATCAGATGTGCTTGAACATTAATCTTGGTGTTCGGTACATTTGATGTTATTTGCAATTGCATAAGGATGTAAATGTTGTTTCTGTGTGTCCTTGAAATGTAATGTTACTTTCAGCAAGCTCCAGAAAGGCAGTTTGCTGATAGACAGCAGTACCATTGACCCTGCGGTGTCCCAAACCATGGCCCAGGTGGCAGAGAGCAAAGGAGCAACATTTGTAGATGCCCCTGTATCAGGAGGTAAGAGACCCCCAGATATACCTTCAAAAAAAGTTAAAGGCACTATATCACACCAAGCTTCTCTAAAAATAAATAATGCATTTCTCTCAAAAATACTAACTATCAGCCCTCAGGGAAGCTACCATATAATTTATTCCCCAAAAAATTACATATTTAGATTACAATATTAAATTAAAAAGTTTGAATGAATTAATACAATGTTGCATTAAATTGACTCTCGCACCCTCCATTATTTCAAGCGAACCCCATAGAGTTATGTCCCTTGAAGCACTCTTAACGAATATCCTACGCACAACTTGTGATTGAATCCAGTTGGTAAACACCCACAACACCACGTACGACAGTTTACGATGTACGGAGCAAGTGTTTACATTCCATGTGGCAAGTGTTCTCTGTTTGGAAGCTATTCACCTCAAGGTTTCAATTATTGATTTCAGGCAAGTCATAAGGGATAAGAAGTATTTTATTGCATTGATAGGAAGCTAAAGTGAGTGCATATGCCCCAGTATGTATAATATAGATATTTTCAAAAATGTGTGACATTGTGCCTGAAGGACTGCGTACTTCATGGCATGACAGTGGACTTCACATATTCTTTTTTGGTTATAACTAACTTTTAGTTGTCCCCCTATGTCAAGGGGTCAAGAAGTTACAGGTAGTCAGATACATTTACTGGTTAGATATGTGCATCTAAGGATCCCCAAAATCTATGCTTGTTCAGGGGTGGAAATAACTTTAAAATTGCTCGTGTACTCCGGTACAGTGGCACATGTAAAATCACTTGCCCTGATAATTTTTCCACTATACCGGCCGTTATCTTGTTGATTTTTTAAATAAATAACATAATTAACATTGGAATGTCAACTGGACACCGGTACAGTGTCATATACACTTTTGCTTGCCGGACAGAAAAAGACACTGGACTCGGGCGTCCGGCAATGGGTTATTTCCACCTCTGTTGTTTTCAGCTGATTAGGTTATTTTGTTTACTAACTGCCAGTTGTCATGGTATCCTGATGGCTAAGGGGCAATGGAGTAGCCCTGTGGTTAAAGCGTTCGCTCGTCCCTCCGAAGGCCTGGGTTTGATTCCCCTACATGGGTATACTGTGTGAAGCCTATTTCTGGTGTCCCCTGCCGTGATATTGCTGGAATATTGCTAAAAGAGGCATAAGACCCACCTCACTCACTCAAGATGGCAATTGATCAGTTATACCAGACTCAATATGAATGGTATGTTTTTCAATGTGGACAGCATACATACAAATTTTAGCTTTTGATATTATGGTTCTAGCAAAGACACCTCACCACCCTTATGCTTCAGTTAGAAGGAAGCAATGATGGGACCTGTGTTCAAGGCACTGCGGTTTGCTGGTCAGAGTTGTGTCCCTTGGACAAACCAGGAATGCATGATCATGGGTTCAAATTCAAGATTCACCATGGTTATGTGTCAAGTGATTGAACAAGATTACATTGACTAATTTCTCACTGACAAATATGAATAGTTTCCAAAATTATAAAATGCTAGCATGTTCATATTGGGAGTGACCCTACACCTTTATCTCCAGTTCTTCCAAAAAGCTGTATGCACACATTGCCTTCCACATAAACTGACAAGCAAGTTTACATGACCGCACCAACTCATGCCTGCCAGCTCAGCCAATTATCTGTAACCTTGACGAAAGTGTGGTTTCTGTGTAGGTGTGAATGCTGCACGGGATGCTCTTCTGACATTCATGGTGGGTGGATCGGACGCGGGATTCTCTGCTGCCAAAGCTTATTTGGAACTCATGGGCAAAAACGTTGTGCACTGCGGTCCTGTTGGGACAGGTCAAGTGAGTATTGAGGGGAGGGGTCAGAATATTACAGCACAGTTAATGTCAGTTCCTGGTGAGGTATTTTGTCTCTTTCAACAAGATACCGTTTTATGATAATAATAATAATAAGACCACTTATTTAGTGCTGAACTCCATGCCACAGGGACATGCTCTAAGTGCATATAACATGCTGGACATTATTACCCTGGATAACCCAAGCTGCCTGTGAAGCTCTGGAAGGTTAATGTACTGCCATGCAAGCAACTTCACTAGCAGAGATGCCCTTGAAATGCACAGTATGATTCCCAACATAAACCTTGAGATTTTGAAATTGAAATTTTTACTTGCAATCTCAATGATAAGAGGGGAAAACCAGGGTATGAAACTCCCAAATATTTCAGCCAGACCACAGGGCTGGTTAGATGTAAATCTTGCCAGCCCTGACCAAAATTTACCTGCCCACAAGATATCTTCATATACATGTCTAAATTTTAACCCGACCGTTGGGCAGGTGAGTTTGAGAATCTGACAGTCCGTGTTGAAAATAACCCGTCCCGGGCAGTCGGGCAGGCAGGTATTTCGAACGCTGGGAAAACATGAACATTGCTAGTTATCAAGGTTATCTGTCTCATGGTGATGTTAAAAATAGGTTAGATATATTCTTAGCATTGGTATGCATAAATTTACATCTTTATGAATACCCTGTGGTACAGTTTTGTACAACATTTCTATCCCACCCCTGTAATTACACAAGTGCTGTGTCTACATTTCCCACACTGCACAAATCACATGGTTTAAGCCTGGAACAGAACTTTGAGGATAGATGCATCAATTACAGCCATAGCCCAGGGGATTCCGGGTTTGAGTCTGTCCACAGCAACTCATACTGGTAATATGGGGCAGTGGGGGTAGCTTTGGGGTTAAAACATTTGATCGTCACGTCGAAGCCCCGAATTCAATTCCCAACATGGGTACAATGAGTGAAGCCCATTTCTGGTCTCCCCAGCTGTGATATTGCTGAAATATTGCTAAAAGCAGCGTAAAACTAAACTCACTCACTCATGCTGGTCATAAGAAGTGAAGTAATAGATCAGATTCAGTGATTTGGATGAATATGTGACATCGTAACCCAGTGTGGATCGGTGCTCATGATGACAATCACTAGATAGTCTGGTCCAGACTTATTTACAGGTTACTGCATATAACTGGATATTGCCTAGTCTGACTAAACCAACAAACATCACCGCCAAGTGTTTCCTACTTGTATTGTGTTGCAGGCAGCCAAGATCTGTAACAATATGTTGCTAGGCATCTCCATGATTGGGACGTCAGAGACCATGAACCTGGGCATGAAGTGAGTACATATAGAGGTGACCTTTCTGTCTTCTCATCCCTGAATCACGGTTCTACAGCATCAGTTTTAGATTGAAAATGTTTCTGTTTTATGTAGTTCTAGCTTGAAGAGATGCAGCAATACAAAATGTGATCGTTACTGAATAATAGGTTGAAATCATATTTATAAATTCATGTTCCCCAAGCTCCTGGCGAAGATCCTCAACATGAGTTCTGGTCGCTGCTGGTCCAGCGAAGTCTACAACCCAGTGCCCGGTGTGGTGGACGGTGTTCCCTCCAGCAACAACTACCAAGGGGGCTTTGGGAGTGCTCTCATGGCCAAGGTCGGTTTACATCTCTTCCCCGTCTTGTGTTTTGGATAGGAGGTGCCAGTCTACTGCTTCATATAAACACACCTCACACAGGATTCCTGGGGGATCTAGTACCCATGGTGTCTGCATGTGAAGGCCAGCCCAAGGTCTCATTGTATTAAAAACGATAGTCGTAAGAGATGGCTAACAGATCCAGCGTTGGTGCAGTTGTTATATCCCATGTGGGTGCCATATGTAGAAACGCGGTTGTCTGATCAACTGATGGAATAGTGGTTATTTACCTTTGTGCATGTTGTTATATCCCAAGCTGTGTAGATGGATGCTCATTATGTGAAACACTTGGTTGGTTCGATCAAAGATTAGATTATTTACTAACTGCTTTCATTTTAGCTGGAATACTGCTGAGTGTGGCATTAAACAACAAACACATGTAAATGGCATTACTTTGATCGAAGACATTTTGCTCAACAGTCAAATATTACCATTTGAGTAAGAATAGAAGCCTGTAAATGAAATTGTAATCTATGGTTAGTGGTAATTTACCACACCACACCACACCACACCACACCACACCACACCACACCACACCACACCACACCACACCACACCACACCACACCACACCACACCACACCACACCACACCACACCACACCACACCACACCACACCACACCACACCACACCACACCACACCACACCACACCACACCACACCACACCACACCACACCACACCACACCACACCACACCACACCACACCACACCACACCACACCACACCACACCACACCACACCACACCACACCACACCACACCACACCACACCACACCACACCACACCACACCACACCACACCACACCACACCACACCACACCACACCACACCACACCACACCACACCACACCACACCACACCACACCACACCACACCACACCACACCACACCACACCACACCACACCACACCACACCACACCACACCACACCACACCACACCACACCACACCACACCACACCACACCACACCACACCACACCACACCACCAAGCACCACAACACAACACACCAAGCTCCATGACACCACAACACACCACAACACGACACAATGCACCACACCACCACACCACAACGCACCACACCACACCACAATGCACCATACCACACCACAATGCACCACACCACACCACACCACACCACACCACAAGACACTATGCCACGCTATACCTTGCTATGCCTTGTATGTTGAGTGTTTTACTGCCTTGTGTTGCAGGACTTGGGTCTGGCTCAGAGTGCCGCCACAGCCAGCAAGTCCGCCACTCCTCTGGGCTCAGCAGCTCATCAGATCTACAGGACCATGGTCAACCACGGCTTTGGGGGCAAGGACTTCAGCTCAGCCTTCAAATTTCTTCAGGGTGATGAAAAGAAATAATCGGTTCCTGTACCGGTATATTACAGACCAGTGTTTGTTGTGAGGGACAAGGTATTGCTTCTCAGGCACTCATATGTCAGCCCAAAACAGGACACTTTTTATTTGTCAATTTTTGTATTTTGACATACACTGTTTGAAATTACGAATCATATGCAAGGGACCCTATTGATAAGCCTCATTTTAAAGGTTAAGCAATTAAGTGGTTTCAGGTTTAAACCAGGCATTAAGCTGTGTATACTCTCACTAAAGTACTGTCGGAAATGCTAGAAAAATGCTTTTTAGCCTTAATATCTTTATAAAAGTGATAAATGTACTATGTTGTCAATATATCAACTTGTCTATTGTCCACCTAATTTTTATTTCAACCGATTTAACATTCCCATGCATTTAAAGGGCAGTTTACAGGAGAGAATTTGGTGCCAAAACAGCAACTTAAGATTTTTTCAGAGTTCACCAACAGAAATCTGAAATAGTCTTTACATTTATGCTAATAATACAGGTGGTGTAAAAATATGAATTAACGTGTTTCTTAAACAAATAAATATGCAATGTTTGTGTTACTTTACTTAATTATCGTTTCTATATTGAAGAAATAATATTATAAATGTTAAGTCTTGATAAATAAGTTTCCCGTCATGCATGCACATCTTTATCACAGCGTACACTATGGACAACGATTTGCAGTCGATTGTTGCAAAGGTTTATAGTTTTTTTCTGCTTAAAAAAGACAGAGGCAAACCTTTCATTAGTTTAGAAAGGGTTTATTACAGAACTTGCAGAGCTGTTGGCATGTCTTACCAAGAAGTTTAAAATATTGTAAACAAATCATACAAGACAGGGACCGTCTCAAATGCAAAACCGGGACGTAAAACCATCCTTGACAACTTTGACAAGGGAGTGCTTAGACGGGCGGTCTACAAACGTTATGAGAAGAAGAATATATATATTCTAAAGAAGCTACACAGTGACTTCGTTAAATCGTTGGCCAATGTTCACAACTAGATTAAACTGTTCGAATTACATCCATATTTTTTCAATGAAATATACTGTTGACATCCAAACATGTATTAAAACGTTGCACATTTCTACAATCAATCGATAAGGTAACACAAGTAGTAGGATTCTTTCCAATATACAGTAATTCGTATGGGTATTTCAAAACAAACACACATACACAAATGATCCCTAACATAACCGATACGTATACTTTACGTACACATATTCAACATTTTGCAGAAAACATCTATTGAGATGACCCCTCGCCCGAGCGTGTGCTAAGGTGTCAATTTCACCTGTCGATACCGTGGATGCTGATGACGTAACACAGGCAGTTAATGTTTGTATCAAATAACGTCCCACTACCCCCTTATTTTTCTAAGTTTTTGGTATTTTCATCAGTAAAAACACATTTTAGAGCATGTCTCAAAATTTATTCCCTCGGTCTACATTAGGTAGATGTTTCTTGAAGTGATATTTGTTATTTAAGTAACTGTAATACCTCTGAATTTTAAATATAAGTCAAAAAGCATTTTTCTAGCATTTCCGACAGTACTATAGTTGCTCTGTGCAACAGTAATTCATGATTGTGTCTAGTCATAGGTTTTAATAGAGCATTTCAAGCATTCAGGGTTATAATTTAACACTAGCCAGCTAGCCTCGGGTTAGTACAAATTCCAGTGTGCTAGCACAAATGTACCCGTTTCCCAATTACACACTACATATTGTATCTTTACCCAAACTAGAAAAGGATTTGTGTTTAGCTCTTAATCTGAGTAGCATCAAATCCAAAGTTGTAAATGATTGTTTAGTAACTTGTGCTTAATGATTGCACATACAAAAATAATTCATAATCCTAGAGGTTGTTCTGATTCTCTGAGAATGTGTTATTCCTGATGTTGAAATGTAGATATTGATAGAGAAGACAAGATTTGATCAGTTTATCCCAAACAGCTATGAATGATAATGGGGTGTGTTTGTCAGTGCTTGTCAGTGTTTATTCAAATATTCAGGGACTTTTCACACTATAGGTTGGTTGACTCGGAACTCAATGAATATTCATTATAAAGTACTCACCATGACTGTATATGGATGTATGTGTTTAATTTAAATATAACCATTAGAATGATTGTGTTTGAAGTTTTTGTTTTCATCTTTTTAAGTGTCTTGTATTTTTGTTATATTTGTAACTGGTTTCTTTGAACAATACTGATTTTTGTAGGATAGTTTGCTTGTCTCAGAGATATTGCATGTATTAATGGACATATAGCCAAAAGTTTTTGATATATATACAGGTTTGCTGGGCGAATTGGTTGTGTGAGAATACGTTTAAATCGAATGATTTGACTTCAGTGAGATCATCTTTGAATATGTGATATATCTAGGGTCTTAGTCTCCTGCTTGTTCTATAAGGAAACCTGTTTTACACCTAACATATCTCCTTTTGTACTGTAGTATATGTGAAGGTAGTCTCTCAGTGACAGCCCCACATGGGTACAGTGTGTGAAGCCCATTTCGGGTGTCCCCACTGTGATATTGCTGGAATATTGCTAAAACAGCATAAAAGTAAACTCACTCACTCACTCTCAATGACAGGAAAGCTCCCTCCAGCATCACCCACCACTAGAGTCGGTATGATATGTATTTCATGTTTGTCTGTGTTTCATGTACCAAGGTATATGTAGCAATATCAAAACTTTATAAGAGTTGATTTGAATTTTGTATAAAATGCTTGAACTGAAGTTTTAACATGCAGACACATGAAAATGATGACTATCAGGTATCAGAGTTAAAATGTAAGAAACTGCTTCTTCTTTTTCGTTATTTTGGGAAAGATGTGTATTAAATAATAAAGTATAACTGCACTGGAACATTTCAAGCAGCTGCCTATCAGACATCTAGCACCTGAGTGATTATCATTATTCTTCTAAATTTAGGGACACAATTTATTCTTAGTACAGTGTTAATTTTGTATATACTTCCTTAGTGCTGTCTTGAAAGTGCTCACTGATGAACAACATGATCTATCTGAAACAATATGTGGAGAATATCTGTATTACTATGTGATTGAAACCATGTACATGTATTTGATATGGTGCCTTTCATTTGGGTTATGACTCTTTTTCAGTGGATTGTTGATGTTATTCTATGGCCATGATGTTTTATATTTACCAACCATGTTATAATAGAAGCAGGTGAAGCGAGAACTAACAGAGTTTGTGACAATCAGTGGTTTATACCACTGTACAACATTTTTCATGGTACTAAATAGGTGGACACTAATATTTCTAGGTTGGTAATTGTTTGAATGTTCCTAGTGCCATCAAATGCCAGTTTATCACTCTGATGTAACTGTCAAATTGATGACTAGCTTAAGAGAACATTCATTCCTCACCCATGGGTGTATTACTGCATTAATGGTAGTGTTGACAGGGGTCACAGATTATGACAGGGTTTCATTACTTCAGTATCGATGCAAGTAAGTATGGCTGTACCATCATTATTTTGTATTCAAAGGCTCCACGTCTTTGGGATCACCCTCAGTTAGGATAAATGCTGAACATCATTGATTCAGTATCTTTGCAGGTAAAACACTCTTGATTTGTAGCTATTATATTGCAATACTGTACTGTTGGCAATAGGGAAATTATGTTGAATTAATTCTTTAAAAATGAATATTTGTTCATTGTTTAACTGAGTTGATAACTCTGAAAACCTTAATTACTTATGGGGAAATTGCAGGGTGGAGACCTTCTTCAGACAATACTCTTTCCTAAATACTCAGTGTTGATCAAATACCCCACAGATGTACTTGACCAGACAAGCAGTTGGATTCTGTCTTTATAGAAGTATTTTACAGTGGTAGTAAATAGGATGCCGTAATACTTTGATGTACCTGACAATTCTGTTCTTTTACCCATCTTTAACCTAACATGTGAACAGACCGGTGCATTTTCACACTGTTTAAACAGGAGTCAAATTTATATATAATAGAGTACTTGCCTTTGTCACTGAAACAAATGACATAATTTTTTGTCACTGAAATAATTATGAAAATCACTTTGCCTCTGAATCAAGGAAAATCATACATTGGTAACTGAAGCAATGATGATGATGCTGTTCTACTGAAACAGTGGTGGCAGTGACGTTTTCACCATAACAATTATGACAGTCCCATTGTCACGGAAACAGTTTCTTTGTTACTATAAACAAACAAAATTGATTTTGTCACCATTGTCCCCCATTGTCATGGTAGTGACATTAACATTGTCATTACTCGTGTGATGTGATTGTGATTGAAGGAAGATACCAAGACTACTATAGTACATTGTGCAATGTCATACCACATTCATGTGTACCTACAGATAGGATGTCATTTTTGTGGGTCCTGTTATATGATCAGTTTGACCAGTGCACAGATGTTTAAAAGAAGAATCTCAACTTTGTCGGGTATAAAGTGTCACAGAATAAACTATTTTCATTGCTCTGTCCTTGTTGTTTGAAATAAGAAACTCATTGCACAGAAGCCAACAAGTCACTGCAGAGTCGAGTAGTGACAGATATTGGGTACTAGTTTCCCTGCCTGACACTCAGCATAATATTGGTTGATCGAACAAGGACTGGTCGGAGTCAGCATACTGTGTCAGTAGGGTGTCTCTATTAAACTGAAGCATAATATACTGAGTCAAAAAAAAAACTTCACATTCTTTCTTCAGGGCACTATAAAAGAACAAGAGATGGTAAGATGGTTAAATTGTTATTATTTCATTGCTGAGATCTGTGATGTACTCGATACACTGACAGTGCCATAATCAGTTCCATTAGGCTACACCGCCGTTCCAAAACATTGGTATACAGAATGTCAAGTCACAAGAAGAAAAATGCGAAATTTCTCAGTTCAATATTGTGTATGACCGCCCCCCGCATTCACCACTGCCAAACACCGTCTCCTTATCGACTGCCTGATGCTTGTGAACACGTGGTTGGGGATTCTGCGCCATTGCTCTTGCAAGGCAGCGCCAAGTTCCTGCAAATTCTGAGGTTGGTTCCTAAGACCACGAAGCCTTCTCCCAAGTGCATCCCAAACGTGCTCTATTGGATTAAGGTCAGGGGACCTCGATGGCCAGTCCATGACGTTGATTCCAGCGTTTTGAAGGAAATTTAGTGTCAACATCGCGGTATGCGTTCGAACATTATCATGCTGGAACTGTAGACCTGGGCCATGAGCCGCCATGAAATGAA